TGAAATTATTGTATGAAATATAATATAACGATCTTATGCTTGTATATATATAAATCAATAAATATCTTTTATAATTAATCAATAAATATATTTGTACTTATATATTTATTGAAGGACATGATACATTTTAATTATTAATGCTTCGTAATAAGAACTATATGAGAAAATTTCTATGTATCAATAGTATAGTTACATTGGGTTATATTCATTATTTTCTACCAAAATATTTCACATATTTATACAATATGTTTTTTTTCTGACAACAAATGTTCAAATAGATTTATATTGAACTTCATTAAAGGGTAAGAAAAATAATGAAGAATTAGTAAAATGGATGGTAAAGTTATTGCGATTGTAAATCTACTAATAGCACTACCAATCTCTAACCAACTACCATACGGATTAACATAGTACATGAGAGGCAAGGACAAACAATCTCCTAAAAAAAGAACTGCTAAGAGGGCTACTCTTGATCCAAGAATATGACTTACACACCCTATCAATATTAAAGGAATATTTAGCTTAAAAAGTATCAATGAGCACATAATAAATGGAGAAAAAATAGTAATAAAATGTTGTGTCCAAAGAGGATCAAATGAGCTTATGCTTGCCATGTTTCCTGTTCCAAAAAAACATAGTAGTGTATAAAACATCTAAATAGTGTAATTAAGGAATACTATAGAAAACCATTACTTAATAACTAATTTACACATAAATATATTAGACATATTCATGTAATATATTACGGAAATATCTTAAACGATGAAGAAAAAGGATACAAAAAATGCTGCTTTAATGAAATCTCTGGTACTTAAAACATTATCAGTCATTTCATCAAATTTATCTTGGATAAATAAAGGCCAATGAAGTAAATGCGTTGCAAGTATTAAGAAAAATAAAGGTTCATAAGATGCAGATAACAAGGACAGAGGGCAGAAAAGACCAATTGTGATTCCTTCTATCCTATTCTTTACATTAACAGTGTAAGTCCAGATAAATAATGGCGCACTTACTAAAATTATCCAAGATATCCAATATCGACCATCTATTAATTTTAAATATATCAGTCCTGTTATTATTAATCTTACTATCTCAATTGCTTTATATTTTAGTTGATGCTTCATGAAAAAAACCTTGCATATCATAATACATATACCAATAGAACTAAAATAAAAAAAATAAAAATTAATTTTTTATTTATAAATATGAAAATATGAAAATGTTTACTATCCATAACTCACACTATATAAATTCGAGGATAGGGTTCTACTATTGGCAATAAAGGAAATATGGCCAAAGCTAGTCCTGACCATAATAACATATTATGTGTCTTTGTCAATATTATTTTTTGCATTAGAACAATGAACAACATTCCTGCACTGAGAACAGTTCTATATGTCAATCCCATGAACATAATAAATAACAAAAAAATAGTTCCCCCTATTTCTATGAAAAAGTTTTTAACATTTTGTTTCTTTAATTTGGGAACGTATTGGATCATATTTATACCTGCTAACCAAAGAGAAATGGCAGTAAATAATCCATAGGATAACTGTCTCAAATTATACCCACTGCTTCCTGAAAAATAAAAAATTGAACTAAAAAATGCATTTTCTTAAGATCTATCTTATGTTTATGTTACTAGTATTGAAAATATATTTTAAATAATTTAAATGATATATAATATGTATCATATACCTATATATCTGATGATCAATACAATCAATGAGATTACAAATATTATATCGAGTAATAATAATAATGAAAGTTTTATTTCTTGGCGTGGTATTCCAACTATCTTAAGAAATAGTAATATTATCCAACCAATCCACATAAATGTCATATACATCAAAAAACGATTTCTTTGATATTGTTTAAAATAATATAAATATTCTTTGGCTAATTTTATTGCTTCTTCTGCTTTTTTAATTCCTTCCATTATCTTTCCATTACTGATATATTGATTAATTTCCCAAATATATTTATTAAGCGTAAGTTCTCGCCAATCCATGAAATCATCACCAATTCCACAATGAAGTATACGATTTTCTATTACTTGATATGATAATTGTTTTAAATTATTAAGTAAAGCTTGCGCACTATATACATCATTGTTTCTCAAGTATTCTTTTCGTAATACACCCTAATAAAGATATATACAAATATTCCATATAAAAATGTAATAAAATACATTTATGCTTAAAGTTATTTCGTAAGTAATATTTCTGAAAATAACTTCAAAAGAAAAACAACGTTTTATATGGTATAATGATAGGACTAACTTCATTGTTAGTTGGTAAAGGACTGCCTATAAGTGTTGAAATTAAAGGAGTTATATCTGCCTGATCTACATCGTAACGAGCTCCGGTAGAATTTACACCTGCACCCCAAGCAATCAATGGCGTCTCTGTTTCATCTGTAGATCCACTTCCATGCGAACCCCAATCGGTCATTCCATGATCAGCTGTGAAGATATATGCTGTACTTCTATCATCAAAAATTTGTTCTGTTTTTTGTACTATTTCCTTTATTCTTTGATCAATATACTTCAGGTTTTCAATATATTTTCTAAATGAAAATGAATCAATTAATAACAATATATATTTTAAAAACTAATATATATTTAATCTTTTTAATTATATTTCGTTTGTCATGTACCTTGATTGAGGTTTATACGAATGACCTATAGTATCACAACCAAGAAGATGAAGAAAAAAAATAATACCATCCATGTGTTTCGCTGCATGTGACTTTTTGTCAAGCCAATCTAAATATTTATCGAATACCCATGAATCTAGACGTAACATATTATTTTGTAAGCCATCAAAATCTTGCCACTCTGAAGGATAACTTTCGCCATGTATGGTTTCTTTATTAGCTGATTATAGATAATATTAAATAATTATTAGACATAAAAATATATTTTTGCTAAGTAGATTGTATTTAGATTTGAATTACTTTTTGTAAATAAAGGTATAATGTCAGGACTCCCCCATGCCCATGTTGATTTACTTTGATTGAAGACCGAATCAAAATCTATAGGATTTTCTTTCCATCCTTTGAAAATTGCACTTGGATCTTCATAAAGTCCTGCAGCAATTGCTACGTTACCTGGTCTTGATTCTGTAGGAACACGAGTATGCGAAATACCCCAAACACCTTTGTACCGGGTGACATTTCTAATTTATAATATATGTCATTATTATATTTAAATAGTTCAACCATTGCTTTTATTTAATTTGTATAAATCTTATAAAATGTATAGGAAAGTGTATATATATATATATATATTAAAATATTTACTTTAGATATGGAGGAAGATTTTCTATAAAGGTACGATATCTCAGACCATCAGCTACAAATAAAAGCAATCTTTTTGCAGGTGCATTTTGTAAAGCTGGTACAACAGGCAACCCTTGTATAATTGGTGAATGAAAATTGATATCCAATATACCCCATAAGAGTACAAAATGCATTATCAATGTCCACGAAACAAATATATATGTGCTATTTTTATTATAAGCATTTGAATAGCCATTTTTATTTCGATGTATAAATTCAAAAATATTAAAAAATTTAAATTTTAACATATTTTATTAGTTATTAGGTAGACGATTAATTAAAAATATCTATACATACATTATTTATTAAAATTTCAACATAATTAAATACTTTATTAGTTTACTTTCGTCTGTGTTAACGCGTTTATACAATTATTATAATTTCTTTAATAAAATTTTTCTATTAATTCATTTTTAGGTTAAAACTTATACATTCGAGTTTCAAAGCTATTTAATTTTGAATACTCACGTGGCAATAAGACATGCGCTTAAAAAACTATTTTCATCGATTTGTTTAAAGGGGGAGATAGGTGTAGGACGACGTTTTTACAGTGATTTTCATGAATTTTGTTAATACATAAAGAATTTATATAATTTATTGATATCGTGAGGTCATTTTACACATATATTTGAAAACATATTCTGAAATTTTCAAAGATTTTCCTCGAAAAGTAACGAAGATATCAGCTGCCGCGCATTCTGGATCGCAACCCGACTTAGCAGTATGTGTACACTTGGGTGGCAATTTTTTTTTTAAATTAATCGCATTAAGAATTTACTTTTTTTTATATGTGTCTCTTCTATGTGAATTTCACTAGCCACAAAAAATTGAATGTTAGTATTTTTAGAGGGGTGTAAACATGAAGCATGATTTTTAGCCATTTTTTCGTACCTTTTTTTATAATAAAAAAAACTGTAAATAATGATACTGTTTAAAATTTTAATTCAAATAGAGCGTATTTATATAGAGAAACTACATGCCAAATTTCAAAATGATCAGTTGAAAACTTTTTAAGCGAGAGTGTACAGAAATTCTGAAAAAGTAGTTTTGAGGGAAACGCGTTTGAAAAAAAGCTCAATCGCTCTGTATTATATGCCACGCGCTCCGACACTTGAACTAGGGATGCTCACTTAATCGCTTATAACTTTTGAACGAATTACAATTTTTACTTGAAATTTTAGGAATATATTTTTGAATAGTTTTACAAGCGATCTATGAAAAAAAAAATGGAATTTTTTAAAGCCTCTACACCTATCTCCCCTCTTAAATTTTAGGGCGGTATACAAGTAATATACGTATTTTTAGTACATGAATGCTCAATAAAATAAATATAGTATTGATGTATTAATAAAAAGGGTAGAAGGAATTCATTCATTAAATATAGCAGTTAGATTTGAAAATGATATTTATTCATTAATGATTTTATAAACAAGCAGCCATTAATCCTGCAACATTTTCGAAATCAATTTTTTCAGTAATATTCTTTGTTTTTATATTTTCATCTTGATTAGCAATAAAGATAATTGATTTGCTTTCATCTTTCCAGCCATACTTTTTCACCCAGTGCTTCAATGTATTATCTACAATAAAAAATATGTTCCTTGTTAACTAACTACATGATTATCACTAATATTTAGAAATCTTAGATGTTCGAACAAAACTAACCATCTACTCCACCTAGAAGTTGTACAAGAAGTCCTTTATCTATTGTCTGGAAAGTTATTCCTACAACGTGACAAACAAATTTCCTTATAGAATCTTGAAATCCAACGATTCTATCACATAGATCTGACATCAACAAAACTTGATCCCAAAATTGTTCAAAATCACATTGTTCCAATATGTCTCCCAAATACATGATCTGATTAATCGGTTTTTCTTGCATCTATAAGAGATATTAATATATCAACTTAATAAAATCAGTTGGTGATAAAATATGATTATTTCTCACAAGAAAAAGAAAGGAAATGGAAAACTAACAATTGATTCGTTCAGAAGACATTTACATAGCACAAAATCAGTATGCGGAAGATTAGTTAAAGCTTTAAGTAATATCTGGCAAGTTATATCCATGTTGAAACGATTTGGATTCAATTGATATAATTTCAAAACTGCCAAATTAGGTTCCAAATCATAAACATTTTCTCTTGATTGAATCTCGACGTACTTCTCCAAAGTTGTTAGGTTATCTGGATTATATCTAAATAAAAAAAATTGTTAAACATTACTTAGAAATATGATTATAAATAGATGCACCAGTTACAATGTTTATTTAATTATTTACAATTTGTAATCTTTATCTGTACCTCTCAATGCCTTTGAGCATACCAGCTACAGTTTGTCTCATTGCCTCAGCCATTTTTAATAAATATACTTTTTAGTATATAATATATGAACACGCGTTCGTCACGTTTCTTACTAATTGGATTTAAATTTCCACCGATTTGAATCAAAAATTTAATCACAATTCAGATATAGAATTAAGTTGCGAATTATTTAAGCTAGTAAATATACTGGAAGCATGTGAAGTAACCTAACATTTAACATTGTTGTGTCTATTTAATGACCAACTATAGGCATAATTCTGAACTAATTTGATGTATCGAATGGCGTTTATCGATCATGTGAATATGTAGTTTAAAACTTTTGATTGATCATGATAATAAAACAGTTGAAAAAGTTCATTATAATAATTTTTTTAATGATAATTAGAAAAAACAAGTGATGTTTACATCTAAAGTGAAGAATTTCGTAAAATATTATAAAATTAGAAAAAATAGATAAATACGTCACTGCTATATCTATTCCTTGCATAAATGCGTATAGGGAGTTTAGGGAATATTTTCAAATAATTATTACAATTATTTAAGCAATTATATAATTTTACTGTTAAATGATAAAACATGGGAGGAAATTATTCGCTCGATATTGAAGAGAATAAAGAAGAAAAAATAGAACTTTGACATCATTTGCAGATGTATTATCCAGATAAAAAACGTTAGATATACTACTGTTCCTACCTTTTCACTGTAAAATACATGAAAGCGCGTCTATATCTTCATTCAATGGACAATTAGTATAATTTAAATACTTTGTCGAGGAAGGTTAAAAAAGGATACAAGTGTCAACAGGAGATGACAGGCGAAGCCATGATAGAAAACAGTTATGGTGCCGACAGAAGTGCGTGAAAATAAAGCAATTATATCGACGAATGTGCTTTTATATATATATACATATATGTACATATACTATATATGTATACATATATATATAATATATATATTACTTTCAAAATCAATTGGAAAAAGTAAATATCGTTGGTATACCATTTTAAACAAATTGACATAAAGAACAAACAACTGGTCGATGAAGAAAATAATGACCAGAGTCTTTTGTGTACATATATACAAATAATGTTTTGGTTCAATTAGAACATTTACAATTAATATATTCTTACATACTTTATATTTAAATCTCATAGAATCTTATTAATATACTTGTATTATACTGGAGTGAGTATACGTTATTTATTTGTATGTCAAATATTACTCCATGTATATTTCTTTTATCTTGTTTTTATAATTGCAGGTTAGATGAATTAAACAAACGTACCTTTTGCACCATGTGGATGAATGTTATAGATACAATAATGTTGCAATAGTAATTATATTTTATTTTATAATATGTTATATTTTCTCTTTTTCTTTCTCTCTAACTATCAGATATGTCATTAAATTAGATAGATCAGTAGATTAAATATTAAATTTAGTATCTAATTTATTGCAATTCTGTATAAAGCTAACAGTTACATATGTTATTTGTAAGTAGGACATTGTACCAAACTTCCATGTTATGTTTAAAGGCATTATTATTTAAAATCTGTGTATTTATATATTATGCACGTACATATGAAAAATTATTTTTTTCAAACGTATTATGTAACGCTTTTATAATACTCAGATTATTCAATTAAATGTCAATTCGCTATGAATGTTGGCATAAATATCATAAAATTACTTTTTAATAGTTAGATATAGAAATGTAAAAATGTGTTACAACTAGATAAAATAAATACTCTTACAATGCATTATTTTCTTACAGATAGAGTATTGTTATATAGAAGATATATAATTAATAACAATATAAAGAGCAATATCAAATTGATGTGGATCATGATTATTATTTTATTCACCAGTATTGAGGTGAATGAACTGTGATGGAGTGGATCAGTACTGCTACAATATATATTATAACATGGAGTTGTTTGATATGGGGTTTCCATTCAGTTCCCCAAGTACCTCCAAAACAAGTTCCATGCGATAAAACACGGAAGATATTCACAGAATCTTGGGGAATAATTAGCGATGGTCCTTTGGGTTCAAATTATACTCAAGATTCTCACTGCGAATGGCTTATTAAAGGTATTAAGAAATAATTACATTGATACTTGTTTATATATATATAATAGATGTTAATTTGTATTTATTTTATACAATTGATACAATTATGCATTATTTTGTAGCAAACAACAGTCATCAATTCATTACACTTAGTTTTCGTACAATGGGTACAGAATGTAGTTACGATTATGTATTTGTTTACGATGGAGATTCTTTTCATTCACCACTTTTGGGTAGTTTTAGTGGCAAAACAGAACCTCAGCAAGTGACATCATCATCTGGTTATGTAAGTAAACAAAAAAGAAGATTTATACAAAATAAATGTATTCTTAATTAACAATCTATTGCCATTTTGTAGATGTTAATATTACTATATAGTGATACAAATTATGTTCTGGATGGATTTCATGCTGAATTCTCAGTTATGGATTGTCCTAATAATTGTACAAATCATGGAAAATGTATTAATAATACTTGTTTTTGTGAAAATGATTGGGGTGGTAAAGATTGCTCTAGAGCTTTATGTCCAGATAATTGTAATAATAATGGCACATGCGAAATCAAACGTTGCCAATGTCACCAAAATTATTCTGGACAATCTTGTTCGTTGCATTCGACTCATCCAGAAGGAAACAGGTTTATATTTAATTGTAGTGTCCAACTGATAATACATATGTATATATGTATTAGTCTATAGATTAATGCTTTTTATTATTTAGATGGCATTGGCTGTCACATTCGGAAGGTGGCTTAAGACCACGCGCAGCTCATACAGCAGTTTATGTAAAGGAAATTGACTCTTTATACATATTTGGTGGCTATGATTTAAATTTTATACTCGGTGATTTAGAAGTTTATCGTTTTAGTACTAGCCAATGGGAAAATGAATATGGTATAATACTGGGTACGTACTAGCATCCAATTTTTATTTTTATTTATTTTTATTATGTTGTTTATTATTTAAGTATATTTTGTAATAACTTCTTTATTAAACTTTACTTCATTCGCAGAGGGAGCATCGTCCATGGAATATTTAGATCCTAGACTTCTTACGCATGAATTGGCACAAATAGATACAGACGCGGAAGAACGATATGGTCTCTCGACTAAATCGATTATTTGGAAGTTACTTAAAAGTATTGAAAATAATAATAATACATTAACTCTACATGATCGTGCAGCCTCTGAAGCAGGAACATACAGATGGAATAAGTTTAATAATAATTCTGATCACAGAGAACGCGAAAAAAGTAATCGAGAAGGCAATGTAAGCAGGATTGGTACGAGTAAAGTTAAAATTAGGAGGAATAATGATTTTGTAAAAGCACATTCAGGTGGTGGTCACGTACGATCTAGATATTCGCAAAGTATGTTGGAAAGGTAAAATGAAAACGTTAACATTATATGTTCGTATTTCATCTATTGCATATATAATTATTTTGTCCTTTCATTTTTTTTTTATTTTCTTCTTTCCTTATCTTTTCAAAGGTATCGCAGAGATTTTGAGGATATAAATTTATATAAAAAGCATCATATCTCTAGAATAGAACAGAATGATGATGCGAACTGGGAAAGACTAAGTACAAATGAAACCACAGAAGAAAACGCTTTTATCCAAGAATTTGAAGATGTTAAATTGATAACCGATGAAGAATATAGAGATTCTGGAAAACAAATTGAAGAAGTGAAGCCAAGTCCGCGATATGGTCATGCTGCATGCAAATATGAAGGTTAGTTATTACAGGAAATTGTTAATATGAATGAATTATTAATTAAAATAGGAAATAAATATTGCTGGTTACAGGAGGTCTTGTCATATATGGTGGTAAAATAGAGGATGGGTCTTTGTCAAATGAACTTTGGCATTATAATGTTAACACACGAATTTGGACATTGCGCGCTAGAAATTCTACGTTTTATCCACCTCGACTTACAAGACATACTCTTACATTGGTAAATGACTATATTTATCTGTTTGGTGGTAGTACAGTGGACGGAGAATTTTCATCTAGCCTGTACAAAATTAGATTGAACTTTTGTAAGTTAATGGTTTATATTTTTAATAAATTATTAGAAAGATGTAGAATTAATTCTAATCAATTTGCTTGTTTTAGCTGATTCTACATCAACGAGCGAAAAATGGCTAAAGGTACGCCCTCGTGGTGGAAAAGAATTAGATGTTCGTGTTGTTGCTCATTCAACTGTTTATCACAGTGCCACTAATTCTTTACTTGTTTATGGTGGAGTTGTAGCTAGCGTAGCACGGTTCAGTAAACTTTCAGATAGAATGTTTGTTTTCCAATTGGATCGAAAAGTTTGGTCTGAAATTCATTACCCAAGGGCACATTTACGAGATACTTATGTGCCTAGAGAGCGTGCGTTTCATACGTGTAATATAATCGGTAATAACATTTTCAATAATCTATAAAATTTTTCTAAATCAATACTTTTCAATATTATATTTGACATAAATTATTTCAGGTAATTATCTGGTTGTGTTTGGCGGATATTCTCATAGACACAACAAAGAAGAAATTTGTTACGACAACCAAATGTATCTTTATCATTTAGGTTGTCATACTTGGGTTAGTCATGACGTTTTAGGATTAAATGACAAAGGTATAATAAACGAATTTTAAATTACAAGTGTTATATATATTTAATATCTTTAGTTCATATAATATATATAAATTATAAATGTACAGATTCACGTTATCCCAAGCAACAAGGAGTCTTCGCACATGCTTCGGACGTACGCAATGGAAATACTTTGTTATTAGTTGGAGGCTATCATGGTAATGTAAATGCAGATTTGCTTGCTTATACTTTACCACCGATGCTTGCACCAGGAGATAATGATAATATAGAACCAGAACAGATTTGTGCAAAGCATAAAAGTTTCACGGAATGTGCTGCAAATCCAGAATGTGGGTGGTGCTCTGCAGATGAGGTATATTATTTTACGAATTTATTATTTTATTTTTTTAATATCATTCAAATTGATTTCTTAATATATTATTTATACTTTTAATTGAAATATTTGAGATATGCTATGGAAGAACCATTGGAAGTAATTGTACGACGAATCTTCAAACTACACGGTGTCCTGGCGTTTGTCCTGCTTTGGGCGATTGTCATTCTTGTTTAACTCATGGACAACCTGGTGGTGGTTGGGGTAAAACATCACGTGGTAGAAATTCGGTTTCTAATAAACTAAACCTTGGAACTTGTACATGGTGCGTTCAGAATGCACGGTGTCATCATAAAGATGATAATTATGGGGTTTGTGGTCTTCGAGACGACACTCCTTCGCAAATA